TCACAACATCAAAATCTATTGTTTGAACTTCAACACCAGCAAGTATTTGTTTATATCTGTTTTTCTGTGACGGACTGGCGATCTGTCCAGGGTCCCTGCAGCAGCTCTCATCACCCACTGCACGGATAACCTGAGAGTAAAATCATTGATGGATTGATAAATGTGTTCTTAATATAGTGTACATTTGTCTCTACAATGTTAATTTATGTTTTATGACTTTTGTTTGGGAAAGTTAGGGTGTAAGGATAGATAAATACATCTCCATAATGATTCCTTATTATTGCTTATTTTAGATTGTTTGTTACTAATATAATTTTAACATCCGAAAACAAAGATTTAATAAAGATTTAAAAATAAATAGGGACATACCACGTGACGTAACACGTGGTATGTCATTTCCTTACTGTTTAATTTGTAGTTAATATGTAATTAATTTTAAATGTTAAAAGTGTTATTGGGTGTTTTTAAAGCGTTGTCAAATAAAATGCGTAATTATTATTATAATATTGAAACACGGCTGATACAGGAAATGGTGTCACTAGCGCCCCCTTCATTTCTGGAACGCAATAGTCCCATTTCCATATAAGGTCTGAGACTGACAATGGTCCGTCCCCGCCCTTTCCGCATGCTGCAGCCAAGTGTAGTTTTTGTCCTCCACTGAGACAGGAACAGTCCAACATCTGGATTGCAAACTGCAGTGGATGTAGGAAGGACAGTTGGTGCTGCTGCAGCACAACTCATTTCTCCAAACACAGGAAAAGCTCCAACAGAGAGGAGAAAGGAAATCCCGCAGTAACAACCTGAAGAAACTCACTGAAGCCTAAAAGGACATCAGGAAACTAAGGAAACATTTCTGGAAGCTCCACCTGATTTAATAATCAGCATTAAAATACAATCAATCTAAACTCTGATCAACACCTGGATACCTGATCCATCCACACTCCCACACACAGATGAAGGAATGAAACACTAAACAGCCCTGCTGCTGAAAACCTGCTGTGGCCTCACTGTAATATCCAGAAATACAAACATTCAAAAGGAGAAGCTGCATCACATTCAACAAAGATTCAACAAGAATCAAACATTTGATCTCTGAGCTCAGACTCACAAACCAGGGAGAGGCTTCCATCATCACACACCTCTGACAAACACCTCCAACCTTTCAGCACTTCCTCTACCAACCAGCACCACCAGGTGGCGCTGCACACATTTACAATGAGCCCAAGAAGAAGAAGAAGCATCCTGAATCCAGCAGCTGCAGTAATGGCTTGTGAAAGTGTCCAAGGAGCATCTGGAACCAGAACCAGCAGATCCAACAGTCCAGAGAGTCTTTGTTTGCATCTTTCCTCTCAGATTTCCAAGCTGCTCTCAGAGGAAATGACATCATCACTCTGCTGATGATGTCACGCTCTGATGTCACTGACCAGGAGCTGCTGGACTTCTACATTTCCAGCATGCAGGACAGAGAAGATCTCAGCTCTGATGTGGAGCTGGCCTGCCTTCACACTGATTGCGGGTCAAAGAAATATTTCCAGATGAAGTGTGTTGGATTGTCCTGCTGTTGCAATCAGAGGCCAAGAAGAAGCTTCAAGTTCTTCTCCTGTTCAGCTCCACGTTCCTGTCAGAGACTTCAGCTCCTCATGAGGAGAACAACTAAAGCCTGGAACAGACTGACACCAACATCCTGACATCTCATCCCTGAACAAAGCTTTGCAGCATCAAGGTGACTCTTAGCGCCATATATGGACAGATTTCCTCTAAAGGGGGCGGAGCCTGGATTGGAGGAACCAGCAGAAGCTTCCAGGAACAAACCTTGAGAACCTCTGGAGGAGAACATGGAGATGAGATTCCTGCTTTAATCAGTGGATTCATTGATAGAAAACATGAAATGTCTGAGAGCTGCAGCTCCATTTTCTACAGATCTGCTGGAACATCAGATAGAAATGAAGAATTTCATCATTTCACATCAAATCTGTTCATCTTCCACAGATACAACTGAATTATTGAGCTGAACTGGTTCCAAAGGTCTGGATGGTAAAAACATCCATTGTTTTTCTGTCTCATTAGTTTCCAGAAAGAGTTGAAATGTTTCAGCAGCTTTTATCCTGCAGCTCAGTAAAGATCTCTCCTCTTTCCAACCTGATTTAGTCCATGAAGCAGAACATCTCTGCTGCTGCAGCAACAGGAGGAAACTTCTCCAGCTCTCAACTTCTACACTCTGACTGCTTGGAAACAGATCAGGAGGAGCAGCCTTTTCTCCAGGCTGCTCCTCCTGACTCTAGCGCCACCTAGTTGAGGACAAACTACCATACAAATAAAAATGCTAAACTCTGCCTCAAACAGTTTGCTTCATGTTTTTGTGTATTTTTGGTTTCATTAAGTCCTGAAAGTTGTGAATCTTTGTTTCACTTTTTGAGAACTTTTCCACATCCATCGACCATTTTCTGATCTTTCCTCATTTGGGCTGATTGGTCTAGATCTCCATGAAATATTCTTTTAAAGTCCAAATTGTTTCCCAGCTGTGTCTCTACAATTACATATCATATCTTTTATATGATATCATTAATCTGCATATTTTTAACTTATTTTTAAATCAGCCAATCAGCTTCTTGTATTTCCTCAGTAGATCCATCAGTGGAAGCCCCGCCCAGCCCATGATGCTCCTGGTTTGTGAAGACAGAGAGACAAACTGAACTCTGATAGGAAACAGTTTCAACTGATTTTCTCTCTCCAACCTCTTGGTTCCACATGGAGCTATATTTGGCCCCCTGCTGCTCTGAATACCATGTTATTGTGGTTCAGTAGATGGGTTGGTTTCCCAGGTTCATTCAGAACCATGGGGAAGATTCTTATAGTTTAAATGAGCTGCTATTTGAAAAGTTACACAACCAAAATGACCAGAGATAATTTGAGTTATTAAACTGTAATAAGAGATAAAATGGGGTTCAAAATGTTATCCATTCATTTATAAATGATATGACTGTATACAAGCTTCAAACTAAATGTTTCCTAGCAGACTGACTAAAGATATTTCTCCCTCTTCCTCCTCTATCAGACCTTCTCTGCTCCTGCAGCAGGTTCCTCCATACCTGAGAGCTTCCAGTCTCCAGTGTGGATCCTTCAGTCCAGCCGACAGCAGCTTCACTCCTGAGTCTCCTGGATGATTGTAGCTCAGGTCCAACTCTTTCAGATGGGAGGGGTTGGAGGTCAGAGCTGAGGCCAGAGAAGCACAGCCTTCCTCTGAGACCAAACAGCCTGATAAGCTGCAGACACACAATTCATCACATGATGAGAAAATGACAACATTGAGGTAGAAACTAAGGTCTGAACTGATGGATGGATGGATGGAATGGCCCAGAGTTACCTGAGAGTTTCCAGGTTGCAGTTTGGACTCTTCAGTCCAGCAGAGAGAAGCTTCACTCCTGAATCCTGCAGGTTGTTGTTACTCAGGTCCAGTTCTCTGAGACTGGAGGACTGGGAGCTGAGAACTGAGGACAGAGCTTCACAGCTTCTCCATGAGAGGTTACAGCCACTCAGTCTGAGGAGACAGGGAGGAAAATATGTTATTAATACAATTCTACAAAAATTTATATTTTTCAAGGTTTTTCTTGGACAGAGAAGGATCTATCTTATTTTACACATGTTTTTGATGCCTTTTGTTGCGAAATGGTTAATTTTATAGTTAGTCCTCCATCCTTAAAGTTTATAACTACAGGAAACAAGAAGTCTGGAAAGAGAATGATAAAATTCCACAATTAACAAAATTAATACAATTTAAATTTTAACATAAAGAGGACGAGTTTTGCTGCTTTAATATGTATCACTATGTCAGCTGCTGAAGGGAGTCTGTGTCTCCTTCACACATCACCCCCAGTGAGAAACTTTGAGGAGACAATGCAACAATATATAAGCTGAAAAATTAACATATATATTTACCTCATCATTAGTATATTTCTATCAAAGATAACTGCATTAACAATGTGTGTCCTTACAGAGCTTTGTTGGAGGCTTTAACCACTGGCAGCAGCCTCAGAAGAACCTCCTCTGAAGCAGAGTATTTCTTCAGGTCAAACACATCCAGATCTTTTCCTGATGACACTAAGATGAAACCCAGAGCTGACCACTGAGCAGGAGACAGTTTATCTGTGGAGAGACTTCCTGAACTCAGAGACTGTTGGATCTCCTCCACTAGAGAACGATCATTCAGTTCATTCAGACAGTGGAACAGATTGATGCTTTTCTCTGCAGACACATTCTCACTGATCTTCTTCTTGATGTACTGAACTGTTTCCTGATTGGTCTGTGAGCTACTTCCTGTTTTGTCAGCAGACCTTGTAGGAGTCTCTGATTGGTCTGCAGTGAAAGTCCCAGGAGGAAGCGAAGGAACAAGTCCAGGTGTCCATTTGGACTCTGTAAGGCCTGGTCAACAGCTCTCTGGTGGAGAGAAATTATTTTACGTTTATTAAATAGTGATTTCTTAGATGTTGATGTTTCTTTCATCAGGTTGACCCCAGAGTTGATGAAGGTCAGATGAACATGAAGAGCAGCCAGAAACTCCTGAACACTCAGATGGACGAAGCAGAACACCTTGTCCTGGTACAGACCTCTCTCCTCTTTAAAGATCTGTGTGAACACTCCTGAGTACACTGAGGCTGCTCTGATATCGATGCCACACTCTGTCAGGTCTGATTCATAGAAGATCAGGTTTCCTTTCTGCAGCTGATCAAAAGCCAGTTTTCCCAGAGACTCAATCATCTTCCTGCTCTCTGGACTCCAGTGTGGATCTGTTTCAGCTCCTCCATCATACTTGACCTTCTTCACTTTGGTCTGAACCACCAGGAAGTGGATGTACATCTCAGTCAGGGTTCTGGGCAGCTCTCCTCCCTCTCTGGTCTCCAACACATCCTCCAGAACTGTAGCAGTGATCCAGCAGAAGACTGGGATGTGGCACATGATGTGGAGGCTTCGTGATGTCTTCATGTGGGAGATGATCCTGCTGGCCTGCTCCTCATCTCTGAATCTCTTCCTGAAGTACTCCTCCTTCTGTGGGTCACTGAACCCTCTGACCTCTGTCACCATGCCAACACACTGAGGAGGGATCTGATTGGATGCTGCAGGTCGTGTGGTTATCCAGAGGAGAGCAGAGGGAAGCAGTTTCCCCCTGATGAGGTTTGTCAGCAGAACATCCACTGAGGTGGACTCTGTAGCATCAGTCAGGATCTCCTTGTTGTGGAAGTCCAGTGGAAGTCGACTCTCATCCAAGCCATCAAAGATGAACAGAACCTGGAAGTGTTCAAAGCTGCAGATTTCTTTGGTTTCACTAAAGAAATGATGAACAAGTTCCACCAAGCTGAACTTTTTTCTTTCAGCACATTCAGCTCTCTGAAGGTGAATGGAAATATGAACTGGATGTTCTGGTGGGCTTTGTCTTCAGCCCAGTCCAGAGTGAACTTCTGTGTTAGGACTGTTTTCCCAATGCCAGCCACTCCCTTTGTCATCACTGTTCTGATTGGTTGATCTCTTCCAGGTGGGACTTTAAAGATGTCTTCTTGTCTGACTGTTGTTTCTGGTCTGTCTGGTTTCCTGGATGCTGTTTCAATCTGTCTGACCTCATGTTCATCATTGACCTCTCCAGTCCCTCCCTCTGTGATGTAGAGCTCTGTGTAGATCTGGTTCAGAAGGGTTGGACTTCCTGCTTTAGCAATCCCCTCAAACACAGACTGGAACTTTTTCTTCAGACCAGATTTAAGTTGATGTTGACAAAAAGCAGCAAGATGTTCTAAATTAACACAAAACATAAAATCATTAACAAAAAAAGATCAAGATGACTGGAATAAATGTTATTTCATCTCTTCAGACATAAGAAATCAGTATGACTGATTTATCTATCAGATTAAATCTTTGAAGAAATTCTCTTACTGCTCTGCAGATGGTCAGCCAGCTTTTCCTGCTTCATCCTCCTCAGGAAGTTCAGTGTGATCTTCATCACTGCCTCTCTGCTCCTCCTCTGCTCTTCATCATCACCTTCCAACACCTCATCATCTCTCTGACTCTCTGAATGTTCTAGGTCATCTGCAATCAGAACCTTCTGGATCTTCTTCAGTTCTTTCTTCACATAAGTGACAATGTTGTCCTCCAGCAGCTGGAACAGAATAATAGATGAAGGAAACATCAGACTGAAATTATGGAGCCAAACATCAGATGGATGTTGGACAGACTGACAGTCCTCTGGTCTAAAACACATAAAAAAGTAGTTGTACATTTACAGACCATAAATATGGAGTCCAGCTGTGTTTGATGCTGCTGGGCAGATGAACCACTGGGTACCTCTGAGATCTGCTGGTCCACTCTGTGGAGGAACCAGGAACAATTACGAAGTCAGGAAATATTCATCCAGCAGTTTTCACAGAGGAAATCACCAAGAGTTTCACAGTAAAATACTTGAAGGAGAAAAACAAAACATCACAATACACACTTACAGCAGGTAGAAACATCTCACCTCTCTGATGGTGGAGATCCAGGAGATTTAAAGTCAATGGGACGATGCTTTGAACAGTCACTCTTAAAGGACACACAGCTGGGTTCTGGTTCTGGTTCTGGTTTGAGTCTCTGATGGATCCTGACAGAAACATGATGATTAAAACTTAATCAGCAAAGAGCAGCAGCAGCTTCATCACCACGTCTGTTCTGGCCTGATATAGTGAACGCTGTGTGAAAAGGGCTGTGGACACTTAGAGATGGTGACCTCACCTCTGACCTTTGCTCTGGCTCTCATCTTCCCCACACAGAGTGGTTTTAGAGGGAGGGACTCCCTCCTCTCTGTCCTCACACTGATCCATGCTGCTGAATCCACATCAGCTCACACACACTTTCTAGCTTCACCTGCAGAGGAAACACACATCATTCATCTGCACATCAACTCTGATCATCCTTTACATCATTAGTGCTGGAAAAAGATCAGCTGCTCCTCCTCTGATTGGCTCTTCTTCTCTGCTTCATATCAGTGTCAGGTGAATGCAGTCAGACAGCAGAGAGGCAGAGGAAGCTGCCATCAGCTGCTGCACTTCTACTATCAGTCCACTAGATGGAGACATGGAGCAACATTTACATTCACTGATTCAACCTGAACAACAGGAAGTATTTTAGTTAGTTAATTATTAATCTCTAAAAGTGGATTATCTGCTGCATTAAATGTTAACTATTTAATAATTTGACTGAATCAATAATAATATTTTAATAATATTTTATTTTGAAAGAGGAAACTGTTGCTGACATTAATGGTGGAGACTAGAGTTCAGTACCAGGAAATAAAAAACATGAATCAGTTTGGAGAAGAAAACAGTGAAACATCAGCTGTTCATCATGTTGATTGATTCCAGTTCATCAATAATCTAATAATCCTGTATATTAGCCTTCAAATAGCAAATATTAAAGTTTCAGCTGAAATCAAAAGTTAAACTTTTCTCCAAACATCAGAGAATAGAAACAATCAAGAAAAAGTTAAAGTGATGAAAAAGTTCAATAAATAAACAAATCAAACTTACAGTTTGTTCAAAATATCCAAAGAGTTAAAGAAGAAAATTTAAACAACAAACTGAGACTCTACAAACGGACTGGAGTCGCACCTGAACAGGTGAATTCAAACTGAAAGTAAATGTGACGGATGTTGTATAACTGATGACGTCACAGCTCACCTGACTTGTAGTTTTTTCCTCCAGAGCAACAGAACCAGGAAGTAGAAGCTCTGAGGTGAAATCAGAGGCAGGTTGATAAAATCTTCATGAGGAAGAAGAGAAGTTCTGATAAAATGAAGGTGTACTTACTTTAGATCATTACTGTTGTGATGATTGATAGTAACAGAAAATACTAACAGTATTTCAGTTCATTCATCATGTCATAAAGAAAAAGTTGGGAAAATGCATTTTTCAAACAAATATTTTCATCATGTCATCCAAACGTTCATTATAAACTAAATATTTAATTCACAATCTAAATATTTACTTGGATTGAAAACTTAATTTTTGGAAATAAAACTTTAGCTAAATATTTGGCTTCAAAAAAATATTTATTTTACAAACTAAACATTTAATTTTCAAATTCAGTATTTATTTTCCAAACTACATATTTAATGATCTTTTTCATGTCTAGTTGTTCAGTCAGACGCTCCATCATGTTGTCATGTTTCAGTTTGTCCTACATTCAGCAACAGTTGGTGAACTGGGTTTAATCCAGTTTAGTCTAATTGTCTTTCTTGCTACCAGCAGCAGAAGGTGCAACAATATGTAACATTGATGTTTAGTGAGTAAATCCTTGGTGTTTATGTCCAGCAGAAACAGAAGAGGCTCCATGGGGAGATCTGTCCTCAGAATGTCCTCAGTCTCCTGTTTCATTTCCTCCCAGAAAGTCTTTATTTGTGGTCAGAACCAGAAGACGTGTGTGATGACCGACCATTCAACACATTCCTCCAACATCCATCTGTGGTTGGAATCCTGGAAATGAACGTTTTCAAAGTAGTAACACTTTATTTGACACAGTGTGTTCTATTAAATCTGGTTTTTACTTTCCAGTCAAACTCTTTGCACATTTGATTTCCAATTCTTTTATGGCACAAAAATGCAAATTAGAAAACTCCACTCCTTGTTTTATCAAGCTCCAGTTCAATCCAGTAAATTGATTAACTCAATTTTCCAAACAATCCACAAATGGAGTAAAACTGGACCATATTGATAGTTTTGACCTCATTCCTCTTCAGAGATACCACTGCAAACTCGTATCAATGGCTCCTCAGAATGACCAGTGGGACGCTCTGCTGGATGGAGACTGAACTACAACACTAAAAGAAGTTTTAAACTCACTTTTCAGTTAGCTAATTGAACAAATTTTATTCTGTAAGATAATATTGCATGGTTACACAAAACCAATAAAAAAGGTAATTATTGCCACATTATGGAGTAATCAATCATGGTGAATATCTGCCACAAAAATTCATTCTTGAACAAGATGGCTTTTCCCAGAAGACAGTATTACATTTTAATAAAAGTGGGGTGGAAAGAAAAACTGGTGAAAAAAAAGATGCACATATAAAATTCACCATTTCTGGAACAATGATTGATATTCTAACATATGTGAAGTAGATTTGCTTTAAAGAGAAAATGTTTTATTTGCATCATACAGTGTTCTTTTATGTATCACATAAATGTAATTGTATCATAGTCAAGATGTTTTTCGGTGCAGCTGCAGAGGGTGTACAAACTAACTGAACAAGATGCGTCTGCTGAAGTTTCCCAGGCGGGTCGTCTGGGAACTTAATCTTCTCCTCTGTTAGCTGAGAGGTGAATAAAGCAACTATTTAACTCTGAGTTTGTTAGAGCAGATTTAGATTTTCGCCTAATGCAGAGTATATTTTTCCCTCTGTCTGCAGATGTATTAAAGATTGATTTTGCTCCCTGAACTTGGACTAGAATTGTGCACTTCACACATATCAAGATAAACTTTTATGGTTAGTTCACAATGGAAAAATCTGGGTTGATTTCATCTGAACATTAATTCAATCTGGAGAGTTTTAGACGGAGAAAATGGAAACCATTAGAAGAGTTTATTGACATACAAATTTAAGTCTTTGGCGCTTGGGCCCCGGCTGAGGACATGGATCATCACAATCTTTGCGATGAGCTTGGATGCATTCCTATGCTGAAGAGTCTCAGACATTGGTGATGGAGTGAAAAGGATGCAGAGAGCTGGAGCTGAGCGAGTGGAGGTGAAGGGGTGGAGGAGGGTTGAGCTCTGCTGGAAAGCAGAAGACGCCATGGACGGTGCTATTTATCAGCTGGGACTTGGACAGTGATTGGACGTGACGCGTCTTGGACCAGCGTTGATTAATCAATGGTGATGAACAGGAAGCAACGGTTGGATGATGCAGGTGGGGTTAGAAGAGACTTCCAGTTTGAATTTGCGCCTTTTTCCTCACAAGTGAAATAAGATCTATTATAAATTTGCCCAGTAAAAATACACTGATTTCACTGTGAAAATTACGTTTTTAGTCTGTAGTATAAGAAATAAAAGACATTTCCATACAAGTCTTAAATACTTTATACAAAATATTGAGTGGAAATCATACACAGTGAGACAGGTTTAAAGAGACGTGACAGTCCAATGAAAACTCCAGATAAATGCAGTGATTTTATGGTCAAAAGTTACAAAAATGTGCAATAATTAAAAAAACCTAAAGTGAAAACTTAACTTGGCACAAGGAAATATTTGCTCCCATCAACAGAAACATTGAATTACTGAGGGAAGGTAAGAGGCTGGATCTGTAGTTTAATTTCATCCATTAAAAAGCTGCTGAAACAAAAAGAGTTCAAAATAAATCGCTGTCTACAGAAAATACAAAGAAATGGTAAATAAAAAAACATGGGATTGATACTCAGCATGACAGATTACAGCTTACATAAAATCACTAAAATGAAAAATACAAAATGTTAAGGACATCAATCTGGAGAAAGAATATGCAAATTATAACAATTACAAGGTAAAGAGATTAAAAATAAACAAAAAATAAACATCATTTTTATAATTAAGGCCACTCGTATGAAGAGCAGAATAAAAAACAAAAAGGAGAAAAATGTAAACTTGTAATCATTCCAACTCAAGTCCTGCTGTGCAACTCAGTTTGTAACAAAACCCCAAAAAACTCAAAAATGTCAAAAAATGGATCAGAAATCAGATCAAATCTTTAAAAGGGAAATAAATATACAAAAATATAAATAAAATGGCCATGACATGCAGAAAACAGAGAGAAATAAAAATTACTACCAATAGAGGATGAAATGAAGCGATGAGTTAAATTCAAACATTTTTCATGTGAAAACGAGGATTAGCATCGTTTCTGCATGACAAGGCATTTTCCTGCTCAAACTGTTAGAAAACAAATTGTGATTTGTAGTTTTTCTTTGCTAAGTGAAGTGAAATATTTGACTTGTGTTCATTAAAAACAGGGATTTCTTTCCTTTTACATGAACACACATTCACAGCTTGCAGAGTGTAAGGCTTGAACCACTTGGCCACACTTTGGGAGGGGTGGGTTGGATTTATTGCACAAGAACACTCGGGGCGGGTGGGTTCTTATTCGGCCCTTTGACAGGTTCTGGATGGGTTCTGTCTCCTCAGTAGAGGCGGACGAGACTTAAAAAAATGTGAAGTTGAAGAACACTGGAAGCTGGTGAGGTTTTACACAGCAGCCAAGACAGGTCAGAGGTCAAAGCAGTGCCACTGCATCAAGCAGAGCCTCATCTTCCCTCCTCTGCTGATCGGGTCTCGGACTTGAGCCGGACGAACTCCTTGGCGACGTCGTCGTTGGAGCGCTGGGAGAGGATCCGCATGGCGGTCAGGCCCGTGTCGTCCATGGAGATGCGCTGCCCCAGGGGGCACCAGCAGGCGCAGTTGCCCCTCTCCATGATGTCCCTCAGCTGCACCACGGCCAGGCCCACCACCCGGTCGGCGCGGCCGAAGCAGTAGTCCTTGACGCAGGCTTGAACCTCGTAGCACTCGAACCCGTCCTGAACACCCAGAACGCTGCAGAGCGAGAGCAGAACACAGGAGTGGGAGCACATGGGCTAGGGCGCTAATTGCAGAGCTAATTCCTGATTTTGTGCTTTTTCTAAAACTTTAAAAACATTCGTACACCTAGATTTTGATGATCTAATTTTCCATTTTAAATCAAAACATTTTACTTTGATTTGAGGTCCACATCTGCAGTGGTAGATTACACTATTGCTAATCTGCTAATGTGCTAATAGCAGAACAAATTTGTTGTGCAACACATTTTGATTCCCCTAAATCAGTTTTCAAGTTAAATTCTAAAGCACTAATGTACTTTTCAGTTTTCTAGACTTTCAGTTGAATAAAGTTTGACATCTGCAGTAGAAGGGACACTTCCATTAAGCTGCTAATGTGCTAATAGTAGAGCTAATTTTAGCTTTTTTAAAATAACTTTTAAAACTATTGCCACACAATTAATTTCTTAAAATAAATCCAGATTTTATTTGGAAAAGTTAAATTTGAGGAACTTCACTAAATGTTTAGCAGAAACACTAAATGAACAATTAGCTGTGCTGCTAGCACATTAGCTGACATTGTCCAGTAATTTCACAAGGACTTTGTTTTGTGTAACCAACAGTTTATGAAGTCAGAATTAAAAGAGCTTCAAATCCTAAATGTGTCACGACGTTTGGTTTTGAACTTACAAGTGAAAGGTCTCGTTGTATTTGGGAGACCAGCTGTTATTCTTGGATTTGGTCTGAAATCGGCGCTTCTTGTCGCTGAGGTGCGGCCCGATCATCGTGACTTCCACGAAGGGTCTGAACATCCCAGACGTCTGCCACTTCAAATCACTGGCTGCAATCACTGCATCAATGACACAAACATTTAAACAGAAATGACACTAAAATGCTGCAGTTTTGATTTCATTGGTTCAAAATGAGCCCAAACGGACCTTTGAGAGTAACTTTCCGCTCTCCGCTCTTGGGATGAGTGTACAGCTCAATCTGCAGGGAAACCTCTCCGATGGGTTTGTCCACACCTGAGCCTGGTTTAACACAAACAACATTTGGTCCAATGCAGGCAAAGAAAACCACGTTTTATAGAGTCATGCGACGGAAACGCAGGTTTCACAAAACAGAAGAGAGAAAACGATGAAGGGAAGTTGGGCTGATGATGATTTCATGGAGACCTACCCCTGCTGGGCTGGATTTTCTCATTAGGGGTTAACCTAATACCCTTCCCATTGTGCACTGGCACAGAGGCAGCAGGAGATAAAAACAAGACAGCAACTTAAACAACCAAATCCAGGAGATAAAAGCAGCGAGGAATCTGAAACTCTCCCGTATTTAATCTCCTTTGAGGCGTTTTGGATCTACCCTGTGAATGCTGCGTGGTCACGAAGGTTTTGATGAGCGTGTCGGTGGTCTGGGTGTAGAGCGACAGAGCGTGGCGGAGCGACGAAAGCTCAGCGCTCTTCTCCAGGAAAGTCTTCTTCAAGCCGTTCCCGCCCGCATGAAAGTATTGCTGCGTAGGAAACAAAACGAGAGGAATCAGCGTTCTACAACCTGAATGATTAAACTTAAAGTGGAGTTAATCAGACTTTTAGTTAATCAACTAAAAGACTCTTAAAATGTGAATGAATTGTACTTTTCTGTTTGACCAGAGGTCAACGTTTCGCTCTCACCTTGATGGTATCCAGAGCCACATCCATGACGGCACACTGCCTGGGCGTCAGGCTTTTAGCGTCTCCTGCCATGTGATCCTAAACAACCCAAACCAAGACTTTGACTAGACCAATTCACAGGAGAAAGCAAACTCAAAGGCAACCTGATACCTTCAGTTTGGAAGGTGTCCCAGTTCTTTAGCAGCAGAAAGGATCTGTGCTCCCTTCAGGAAAAACAGAAAAATGAATGATTCTTTTAGTTTTCAGAAGCCTTGTTTCAATTTTAAGTATCATATTAGTAAAGTTTGATGGAGATGGAAAAAAAGCATCGATACAACTCATGTTTATACATAAAGTGAGTTATTTATCTACTCTATATGTGATTGGATGATGTTCAGTTTGTTGACTAATAATTAAACTGAATATGCCACAGTCATCATTTTAAAACATAATGGCTAAAAATATTTTTTGTGTTTGGTCACGTCTGTCAAAATGTTTACATCTCATCATCTGACACAATTACAAGTTGATCCATTTCAAAATGGCAGCCATGTTTCCATCCAGCTGTGATTCAAATTTTGAGCAAATTTTTATAATAATGTATAAAAGAAAATGCAACTTACACTGCAAAACCATAAACTCTTACCAAGTATTTTTGGTCTAGATTCTAGTGCAAATTTGACGAATGTGAATTACAACATTTAACTTTTCTTTTGGGATCAATAAAGTATGTTTGAATTTGAATTTTAAAATATCTCAGCACCTTTTAAATAAGACAAAAATAACTTAGTAGTAACTTATCAGAAGAAGAAGCTTGTTTTAAGTCGATAATTCCTTAATATTGATTAAAAAAAAGTAGTTGGCAGATTATTTAATTTAAGGGAAAATGTTTTGTTATAAGTGAAATAATCCGTCCTACACAAAATAAGTTCATTATATTTATTTGCACAAAATTATTGATGTAAAATGAGATTTTAGTCTGGTTATTATGTCCCTTGTAATATTGCAAAAATATCTTGATTTAGGTGAAATAATCAAATTTTGTCAGCAATATTAAGAAATTATTGACTTAAAACAAGCTTCTATTTCTTGCTGAAAAGCTACTTGTGAGTTAGTTTTCTCATTTTTCTGCTGTTCTAAGATAGTTTCACTGACAACTAGATCAAAAATATTTGGTAAGATTGTGTTTTAATTCACACTTTTTGACAATATTTCAAAACCATCTGGATGGAAACCTGTCCAGTGACGGAGACGAGCGTCAGACTCACCAAGGTGTCGTTCCCTTGCGGCAGGACGATGTTCTTCTCCAGGCTGGTCATCACGATCCTCCACAGCTCCTTCAGAACGCGCTTCAGGACGGTTTTCTCACACACCGTGGCGAACAGCGTTAATCTGCAAAAACAAGACGTTCACACACACGCCGACGGACGAGCCGTGTTTGGGGAAATCCCACTGAACCCACTGCGCATCCAGGAAGTCCATGAGCGGCCGCAGCATGTTGTCCGAGTCGCCCTCCACCTGGTTCTTGGTGTTTTCGTTGAGCGGTCCTTTGATCTGGTACAGCAGCGACGCCATCTGCCGCATGCAGTCGGTGATGCGGCTCTGGAAGCTGCAGGAGAAGAAAAGCCAGTGATGCACTGGGACAAAGTGGGGGAAACGTGGGGGTGTGAGGGCGGCGTACCTGTTCCCAAACGTGCTGCTGAGGTCGTCCAGAACGTTGTTGAGCCGAACCTGCAGGTCGTTGAGCAGGTCGCTGGCCTCCGTGTCCATCTGGAGGAGAGAAACCTTCAAGTTCAAAAGGCTGACAAAAGGTTTTAGAGAAAGAAAAAGGGAAATAAAACTGGGAAGTTTTGGGATTTTACTGAGACTCAGAACCTGGAAGCTAAATTACTTCTAAAGCTGAATTATTACAAAACACCTGAGAGTCTACGGTTGCATTACGAGTCCGTTAAACACCTTGTTGGTGTAGTTTGCATTTCTACTCATAATAACATGCATGTTGCAGTTCACCTCCTGTAACACGCATGAACTCACCTCATGATCCTCACATGCATTTTCTCTCTATGTGGCAGAAAGTTGGGAGGTAAAACAAGACATTTTGGATGAAATGCCCCATTTTGACACTCATTAAGTGGGAAATTGCATATTAAGAATCTAATTTAGGATGTTCTGCTTGTGCCTACCTTCTCAAACGGTTCGTCCATCTTTGAGTCAGAAAATTGTTAGAGATATAAAAAAACACAAACAGTGTCAAACTGTCCTGAAGAGGTGGAGGAGCTGTATAAATCCAAATGATTTCTGGACTTTTTGGTGAATATTAAGGTGATTTAATCCCAGATAACATGTTTAACCCACCTCATCCTTCTCAGTCTATCACACATGGTTTAGAAAAGGAACAAAATAAAGTGTTAAAATGAAAAATACAGTTGAAGGTGACGTGAAAGTGGCGCTTTTATGGGAAATAAGGGAAAATGCTGCTAATCTAAAGAGGAAATCCTCACAGATGAGAATAAACCAGACAACAAAACTCCACCATGTTGGATGTTTTAGTTTCAGTTTGGGAAAATCTTTGGAAATGACTGTGGATTTGGAGAATGAAGGATGTTAAAAACCACTTTCAACTGCAACAAACCTCTGCCTCCATTTCCTCCCCTTCCTCTTTAACTTCCTCCTCTTCCTCACTTCCTTCAAACTAGGAGTTGCAGTAAAGAGGCAACAAAGGTTTTGTCTTGTTGCTTCATTCAGATAATTGTGCAGTGGTTTTTTAAAGTTATTTTTAAGGTGTATATGCAGTCATGTTTTACATGTTTGCATATGCAGTGGACTTGCCTGCCATGCTAGCGCGCTGTTCTTCAGCTAGAAAAGCAGAGAAGGTAAAGAATGTCTTTCTCCAGCCACAATTACAAGAACTGACTTTATATTGAGTTAAAACGTGGATACTATCAGAGAAAAACAAAATATTACCATTTATTTTTGGTCTAGTTTATTGTTCAAGTACATTTGGACACTTAAAATAAGACAAAACTAATTTACAAGTAACTTTTTAGAAAGATATATGAGCTTGGAGGGAGTTTGAGACGCATTAAGTCTTAGAATATTCTTCTTAAAAAGGAAAACCTGCAGATTTGTCTGCACAAAAACTTTTGAATTTCATATTAAAATGTTAATTTAACAGAGTGATTCGTATTTTCCCAGACAGCCTTAATTTTCTTTTATATGATTTCAACATGGTGCATTTCCTAACAATCAATAACAAATCAAATTGATATGATGTCAAAACTGGAATCTATCACTAATTTGAACACTTGACCCTCAACATCAATGTTGGAGAAACATTATCGTCATTGATAATGTAATAACAGCAATAGTGTTACAACAACAATATTAAATAATAGTGTTGTTGTAATTTCAAGGCTGCTGTTTCTCTGTCAGATTCCCTCAGGTCTCCACAGCAGAGAGATGGATCACGGCGCTCTTCCTCCACCTCCTCGCCGCGCCCCATCCTCATCCTCCACCACCTCCACTGAGTTCTGATGGGTCGGTTCAGATCCTCTCTGGAGATCAGACACCAGAACAGAGGCGGATCAGAACCAAAGCCAGCAGCTCTGCTGAAGCTCAGGAGAACGCTGAGTCCAGATGTGGACCCTGGTCTCCTCCAGAACCTCCTCTGTTCTGCTGTGGAGGAACTGTGTGGCTCCAGTTCTGCAGCAGGACCTTCTCAGCTGCAGCAGAAGAAGAAAGGACTTCCTGTGTTCAGGTTGGATAGAAACCTGGATATTTTCTAGCTTGTGGTTCTGCTTCCAGCGTAGATGTTCTCCAGGGTTCTGATCTGGATCTAGTGGACTGTAGAGCTCATCAGGTTTCCTCTCATCCACTTTGAGATCTTCAGCCTCCTTTAGATTCAACCTGAAGCTTCTTCTGACAGATTAGCTGCAGCTGATATTTAGCATGATGTTTATTATTCTAGCCTCAGTTTTCTGTTCTTCATGTGACTCCACTGAATCCAACTCTGATGTCGTTCACTTCACAAGTGATGAAGATCCTTTTTTCTTTCACTTCCTGCTGATTTCTTTCCAAAGCTCCATTTGTTCCAGGAGGATCTTCAATGTTCTCTTTAGATGATGGAGGAACTCAGACTGACTCCACCCGGCTGGTGCTCCAGGTGAGCAGAAACAAACAAACCCTGAAGTCATCTCTGCAGACCAGCTTTAGATTTGGACCAACTGAACATCAAGCTTCAGTAACGTCTCAGTTAAAGTTTGTTTCCAGATCTGAGATCAGAAAGTTCTGGAACAAACTGGTTGCTCTCCAGTTTGATGATGTTTCCAACCTGAATGTTCATCCATTTTTCTTCTCTCAGCCTGGAAAGAAAATCCTCCAAATTATCTGGCTTGTTAAAAAACTGTTTTATTAGTAAAATCTTGGAATCTTGACTCACTCTTTGTGCATCAGGACTTTCACCTTGCAGTTATTCACCTGAAATGAAGAGGAATTGTTTATTGTTGGTCTAAGAATAAAATGTTTTTGTAAGGATCATGTAATCACATCCTGGAAAATCCTTCATAGTTTATCTTTGCTCTAAAGTTATGAAAACCCGAAACCTCTCCCTTTTTAACAGAGATCAATAACCAAACACTCTGATCTTTGCTTAATCTGCCAGTTTGACAAATATAAATGAACATCGCTTCAAAATGTGTGTATTTTATTACTTCTGAGTGGGAAAGTGTTTCTGAAATGGAGCAGGAAATACATTTCATAACAGCTGATTTGCATGTGATGAAGACAAGAAGGCAGCGGTCAACACACACACACCCAGTGGTGTGTTCACACACACTCTGCAGAACTTTGTGTTCATCAGGAGGTCGATTGTTTCAGGGTTGAGCTAAAACAGAAGCAGCAGCACTTCCTCTACAGGAGAAACACACGAGGTCATGAGGTCAAGCTTTGTGACAGTAAATAAAACACATGAATAATCTCTTGGTTTGCTAAATTATAATAAAACATGATATTTATGTTGTGAACAATTAAATAATTTTAGCTTGGATTGGCTCTGAACACATCATAAATCACTGATTCATTATAAAAACTTTGACTAGACTCAGAGTAGACTTATGTAAATATACATGATGAAGTATTTAAATTCAGCATTTCACTGTAAATATAATTAAAGTGTAGATACAGGGATAAAGATTAGCATGCTAACCCCTCAGGTTTCCCATCAGCCACTTGGGTTTCAGGATGACCAACATTTTTAAACATGGCTGCTAATTTTGAGCCTTTTAAACCAGATATGGACATTAAATGTTCCCTGTTAGAGATTCAGGTTTTAACTTATGGATCTTTGTCAGTAAATTTGATTTAATTATTGGGGAATAATAAAAAAAATTGTCAAGGAATAAACTAAAAATTAGGTTTTTGGAGGTGAAATGATTAATTGTTGAATAAAAATGGAAAATTAATCATGTAGGATTAATTAGATTATTTTATTGTGAAATTTTAAACACATTACATTTGTACTTTCACTTTGTGTAAAGAGTATTAAGTACTAATTGAATTCATATAAAACATGCAGTTTTTTCATGTTATTGAACGTAGGCAGCCTTCAAAATGAGCGGTCCTTATGTTTCTGTGATGCTTCCAGTCTCTGCGTTGTCCTGTTTCCCCTTGATTGTTCCCAGGTGTTTCTCGTTTCTGTGATTACCATCTGTGTATTTAATCCCACGGTTGTCCTTTGTTCCTCATCGGGTCCTCATCGTTCTTCACGTCATTTTGTCAAGCCTGTTCTTCTGTCCACCAGGATGAACAGTTGCTACCGGCGTTGAGCCCTGGCTTCAGCTCAGCCATGCTGCCTGTTTTTGTGTTTCCACTTGGACTATTTTTACTATTAAAACCATCATTTAACTATATCCTGGGTTTTCTGCCTGCTGCTTCACCACCAGTATACCAGCATCTCTTGATAGAGTGAAGCTATGACAAGAAAACAAACTGAAAAACATGAGAATCCTGGAATAATCCTGGAATAATCCTGGAATAAACCCAGCTTCCATCTTTAAAGGACTAGAAGAAGAAAAAGTTTCCAAGGACTAAATCAGAATCATTTCAACAAGAAATAGATTGTAGAGACTGAACTATCTGTTCAACAGTGAGAGAGTTTCTCTGACAGGAGGAAAAACTTTAGACTCTTTAGACTCAAATCAGCTCAGAACCACTGAAGAACCATAAAACCAGAACCAGAATCCAGGAATCAAAGGTTCAGTGAATGTGGTGTTGAAGGTGTGGAGGAGGATCAGTGAGTCAGAGGAGACTCTGTAGAAGGACAGAATGCCAGCAGGACAGTCCACATACACTGCTACTCTGTTAGAGTCAGAGGAGGAGAGACGAGTTTCTATGTAATTGTGCAAGACAGAGTAACCATAACTATCAGAGCATCTCAGACTCCAGGAATGATCATTACATCCAAACAAACAGTCTCTTCTGTCTCCTTTCCTCCTGATTCTTCTGTAACTCACTGATATATCAACATCTCCTCTCCACTCAGCCTCCCAGTAACAGCGACCAGTCAGACCAGTTCTACACAGCAGCTGATTCCAGTTATCAAATCTGTCTGGATGATCAGGATATGACTGAAGCTTCTTCATCCATGTCACCTTCCTGTTGTCTTCAGACAGTTTGAGTTTTCTGTTCACTGTGTTTGTGTCGATGGTGAGTTGACAGGAATCTGATGGAGAACAAACACAATCCAGCTGCAGTTATTGATCATTTATTGACACTTTGACTCCTGAATGAGTGATGTGACAGTTTGAAGATGGTTGAATGTGAGCTGCTTTGTTGTCATGAATCAGATGAAAAACACACTTACATTTCCTCAGACCTGGAGTCAAGAATCGGCCTCCAGCAGGCTCCACCCTGAAAGGAGGAGGGGGGTCAGACCATCAGTCTCTTTCAGCAGCAAACATGGACATTACATGTCTCTCAGACACACATTGTCCTCCACTGAGACAGGAACAGTCCAACATCTGGATTGCAAACTGCAGTGGATGTAGGAAGGACAGTTGGTGCTGCTGCAGCACAACTCATTTCTCCAAACACAGGAAAAGCTCCAACAGAGAGGAGAAAGGAAATCCCTCAGTAACAACCTGAAGAAACTCACTGAAGCCTAAAAGGACATCAGGAAACTAAGGAAACATTTCTGGAAGCTCCACCTGATTTAATAATCAGCATTAAAATACAATCAATCTAAACTCTGATCAACACCTGGATACCTGATCCATCCACACTCCCACACACAGATGAAGGAATGAAACACTAAACAGCCCTGCTGCTGAAAACCTGCTGTGGCCTCACTGTAATATCCAGAAATACAAACATTCAAAAGGAGAAGCTGCATCACATTCAACAAAGATTCAACAAGAATCAAAGATTTGATCTCTGAGCTCAGACTCACAAACCAGGGAGAGGCTTCCATCATCACACACCTCTGACAAACACCTCCAACCTTTCAGCACTTCCTCTACCAACCAGCACCACCAGGTGGCGCTGCACACATTTACAATGAGCCCAAGAAGAAGAAGCAGCATCCTGAATCCAGCAGCTGCAGTAATGGCTTGTGAAAGTGTCCAAGGAGCATCTGGAACCAGAACCAGCAGATCCAACAGTCCAGAGAGTCTTTGTTTGCATCTTTCCTCTCAGATTTCCAAGCTGCTCTGAGAGGGAAATGACATCATCACTCTACTGATGATGTCACGCTCTGATGTCACTGACCAGGAGCTGCTGGACTTCTACATTTCCAGCATGGAGGACAGAGAAGATCTGAGCTCTGATGAGGAGCTGGCCTGCCTTCACACTGATTGAGGGTCAAAGAAATATTTCCAGATGAAGTCAGACTAAAATGTTGGATTGTCCTGCTGTTGCAATCAGAGGCCAAGAAGAAGCTTCAAGTTCTTCTCCTGTTCAGCTCCACGTTCCTGTCAGAGACTTCAGCTCCTCATGAGGAGAACAACTAAAGCCTGGAACAGACTGACACCAACATCCTGACATCTCAACCCTGAACAAAGCTTTGCAGCATCAAGGTGACTCTTAGCGCCATATATGGACAGATTTCCTCTAAAGGGGGCGGAGCCTGGATTGGAGGAACCAGCAGCAGCTTCCAGGAACAAACCTTGGGAACCTCTGGAGGAGAACATGGAGATGAGATTCCTGCTTTAATCAGTGGATTCATTGATAGAAAACATGAAATGTCTGAGAGCTGCAGCTCCATTTTCTACAGATCTGTTGGAACATCAGATAGAAATGAAGAATTTCATCATTTCACATCAAATCTGTTCATCTTCCACAGATACAACTGAATTATTGAGCTGAACTGGTTCCAAAGGTCTGGATGGTAAAAACATCCATTGTTTTTCTGTCTCATTAGTTTCCAGAAAGAGTTGAAATGTTTCAGCAGCTTTTATCCTGCAGCTCAGTAAAGATCTCTCCTCTTTCCAACCTGATTTAGTCCATGAAGCAGAACATCTCTGCTGCTGCAGCAACAGGAGGAAACTTCTCCAGCTCTCAACTTCTACACTCTGACTGCTTGGAAACAGATCAGGGAGGATCAGCCTTTTCTCCAGGCTGCTCCTCCTGACTCTAGCGCCACCTAGTTGAGGACAAACTACCATACAAATAAAAATGCTGAACTCTGCCTCAAACAGTTTGCTTCATGTTTTTGTGTATTTTTGGTTTCATTAAGTCCTGAAAGTTGTGAATCTTTGTTTCACTTTTTGAGAACTTTTCCACATCCATCTGACCATTTTCTGATCTTTCCTCATTTGGGCTGATTGGTCTAGATCTCCATGAAATATTCTTTTAAAGTCCAAATTGTTTCCCAGCTTTGTCTCTACAATTACATATCATATCTTTTATATGATATCATTAATCTGCATATTTTTAACTTATTTTAAATCAGCCAATCAGCTTCTTGTATTTCCTCAGTAGATCATCAGTGGAAGCCCCGCCCAGCCCATGATGCTCCTGGTTTGTGAAGACAGAGAGACAAACTGAACTCTGATAGAAAACAGTTTCAACTGATTTTCTCTCTCCAACCTCTTGGTTCCACATGGAGCTATATTTGGCCCCCTGCTGCTCTAAATACCATGTTATTGTGGTTCAGTAGATGGGTTGGTTTCCCAGCTTCATTCAGAACCATGTGGAAGATTCTTATAGTTTAAATGGGCTGCTGTTTGAAAAGTTACACAACCAAAATGACCAGAGATAATTTGAGTTATTAAACTGTAATAAGAGATAAAATGGGGTTCAAAATGTTATCCATTCATTTATATATGATATGACTGTATACCAGCTTCAACCTAAATGTTTTCCAGCAGACTGACTAAAGACATTTCTCCCTCTTCCTCCTCTATCAGACCTTCTCTGCTCCTGCAGCAGGTTCCTCCATACCTGAGAGCTTCCAGTCTCCAGTGTGGATCCTTCAGTCCAGCCGACAGCAGCTTCACTCCTGAGTCTCCTGGATGATTGTAACTCAGGTCCAACTCTTTAAGATGGGAGGGGTTGGAGGTCAGAGCTGAGGCCAGAGAAGCACAGCCTTCCTCTGAGACCAAACAGCCTGATAAGCTGCAGACACACAATTCATCACATGATGAGAAAATGAGAACATTGAGGTAGAAATCAAGGTCTGAACTGATGGATGGATGGATGGATGGATGGATGGATGGGATGGATGGCTGGATGGCTGGATGGCTGGATGGATGGATGGATGGATGGATGGATGGGATGGATGGATGGATGGATGGATGGATGGATGGATGGCCCAGAGTTACCTGAGAGTTTCCAGGTTGCAGTTTGGACTCTTCAGTCCAGCAGAGAGAAGCTTCACTCCTGAATCCTGCAGGTTGTTGTTACTCAGGTCCAGTTCTCTGAGACTGGAGGACTGGGAGCTGAGAACTGAGGACAGAGCTTCACAGCTTCTCTCTGAGAGGTTACAGTCACTCAGTCTGAGGAGACAGGGAGGAAAATATGTTATTAATACAAGCCTTCATTTTCTAGTCAACAATGTTTTTTTGTTGATTTGAAAGAACAATTTTATTTTACATATTTCCATTTGTTATGAACTGTTTAATTTTATAGTTTATCCAAGCAGAAGGAAGTCGTTTCTTTTTTACAGAAACCCCCAATGTTTAAGAAATCATCAAATGTTTGTGTTACTTTACAGTCAACAACATTCTTCGACTTATTGAAGAATAGGTCATATTTTTCAAAACTTTATTCTATAGTTGGGACTCTGACCTTGAAGAACTGAACTACAGGCAATAAGGAGGCTGGCAAGAGAAATATTACTACATTAATCCAGTGTCAGTTTTAACAGAAAGAGTCCATTGAAAATCTAGTCTGAATATCAGCATCAGAGCTGGTTTGAGGGAAAACCAGCTTCAACAAAAGCAGAGAGAATCTCAGATTATATCTTTACATGTTTAACTGGTTGGATTCAGAGATGGAAAACTGAGCAGTGACTGACAAAAACTGTTCCTTTGAGCAACAAGTTAACTATTAATCTTCAACCTAAATGTTTCCCAGCAGACTGACTAAAGACATTTCTCCCTCTTCCTCCTCTATCAGACCTTCTCTGCTCCTGCAGCAGGTTCCTCCATACCTGAGAGCTTCCAGTCTCCAGTGTGGATCCTTCAGTCCAGCCGACAGCAGCTTCACTCCTGAGTCTCCTGGATGATTGTAGCTCAGGTCCAACTCTTTCAGATGGGAGGGGTTGGAGGTCAGAGCTGAGGCCAGAGAAGCACAGCCTTCCTCTGAGACCAAACAGCCTGATAAGCTGCAGACACACAATTCATCACATGATGAGAAAATGACAACATGGAGGTAGAGACCAAGGTCTGAACGGACGGACGGACGGACGGATGGATGGATGGATGGATGGCCGGCCCAGACTTACCTGAGAGTTTCCAGGTTGCAGTTTGGACTCTTCAGTCCAGCAGAGAGAAGCTTCACTCCTGAATCCTGCAGGTTGTTGTTACTCAGGTCCAGTTCTCTGAGACTGGAGGACTGGGAGCTGAGAACTGAGGACAGAGCTTCACAGCTTCTCTCTGAGAGGTTACAGCCACTCAGTCTGAGGAGACAGGGAGGAAAATATGTTATTATACAATTCTACAAAAATTTATATTTTTCAAGGTTTTTCTTGGACAGAGAAGGATCAATCTTATTTTACACATGTTTGATGCCTTTTGTTGCGAAATGGTTCATTTTATAGTTAGTCCTCCATCCTTAAAGTTTATAACTACAGCAAACAAGAAGTCTGGAAAGAGAATGATAAAATTCCACAATTAACAAAATTAATACAATTTAAATTTTAACATAAAGAGGACGAGTTTTGCTGCTTTAATATGTATCACTATGTCAGCTGCTGATGGGAGTCTGTGTCTCCTTCACACATCACCCCCAGTGAGAAACTTTGAGGAGACAATGCAACAATATATAAGCTGAAAAATTAACATATATGTTTACCTCATCATTAGTATATTTCTATCAAAGATAACTGCATTAACAATGTGTGTCCTTACAGAACTTTGTTGGAGGCTTTAACCACTGGCAGCAGCCTCAGAAGAACCTCTCTGAAGCAGAGTATTTCTTCAGGTCAAACACATCCAGATCTTTTCCTGATGACACTAAGATGAAACCCAGAGCTGACCACTGAGCAGGAGACAGTTTATCTGTGGAGAGACTTCCTGAACTCAGAGACCATTGGATCTCCTCCACTAGAGAACGATCATTCAGTTCATTCAGACAGTGGAACAGATTGATGCTTTTCTCTGCAGACACATTCTCACTGATCTTCTTCTTGATGTACTCAACTGTTTCCTGATTGGTCTGTGAGCTACTTCCTGTCTGTGTCAGCAGACCTTTTAGGAGTCTCTGATTGGTCTGCAGTGAAAGTCCCAGGAGGAAACGGAGGAACAAGTCCAGGTGTCCATTTGGACTCTGTAAGGCCTGGTCAACAGCTCTCTGATGGAGAGATTGTAGATCAGATGTATTAAGTAATGAAGATGTATTAGATCTTTGTATTTCTTTGATCATGTCAGAACCAGAGTTGATGAAGGTCAGATGAACATGAAGAGCAGCCAGAAACTCCTGAACACTCAGATGGACGAAGCAGAACACCTTGTCCTGGTACAGACCTCTCTCCTCTTTAAAGATCTGTGTGAACACTCCTGAGTACACTGAGGCTGCTCTGATATCGATGCCACACTCTGTCAGGTCTGATTCATAGAAGATCAGGTTTCCTTTCTGCAGCTGATCAAAAGCCAGTTTTCCCAGAGACTTTATCATCTTCCTGCTCTCTGGACTCCAGTGTGGATCTGTTTCAGCTCCTCCATCATACTTGACCTTCTTCACTTTGGTCTGAACCACCAGGAAGTGGATGTACATCTCAGTCAGGGTTCTGGGCAGCTCTCCTCCCTCTCTGGTCTTCAACACATCCTCCAGAACTGTAGCAGTGATCCAGCAGAAGACTGGGATGTGGCACATGATGTGGAGGCTTCGTGATGTCTTCATGTGGGAGATGATCCTGCTGGCCTGCTCCTCATCTCTGAATCTCTTCCTGAAGTACTCCTCCTTCTGAGGGTCATTGAACCCTCTGACCTCTGTCACCATGCCAACACACTGAGGAGGGATCTGATTGGCTGCTGCAGGTCGTGTGGTTATCCAGAGGAGAGCAGAGGGAAGCAGTTTCCCCCTGATGAGGTTTGTCAGGAGAACATCCACTGAGGTGGACTCTGTAGCATCAGTCAGGATCTCCTTGTTGTGGAAGTCCAGTGGAAGTCGACTCTCTCCCAAGCCATCAAAGATGAACAGAACCTGGAAGTGTTCAAAGCTGCAGATTTCTTTGGTTTCACTAAAGAAATGATGAACAAGTTCCACAAGCTGAACGTTTTCTCTTTCAGCACATTCAGCTCTCTGAAGGTGAATGGAAATATGAACTGGATGTTCTGGTGGGCTTTGTCTTCAGCCCAGTCCAGAGTGAACTTCTGTGTTAGGACTGTTTTCCCAATGCCAGCCACTCCCTTTGTCATCACTGTTCTGATTGGTTGATCTCTTCCAGGTGGGACTTTAAAGATGTCTTCTTGTCTGACTGTTGTTTCTGGTCTGTCTGGTTTCCTGGATGCTGTTTCAATCTGTCTGACCTCATGTTCATCATTGACCTCTCCAGTCTCTCCCTCTGTGATGTAGAGCTCTGTGTAGATCTGGTTCAGAAGGGTTTGACTTCCTGCTTTAGCAATCCCCTCAAACACAGACTGGAACTTCTTCTTCAGACCAGATTTAAGTTCATGTTGACAAACTGGAGCAAAATGTCCTAAATTAACACAATAAGAAAATCAGATATGAAAGAAAATCATGTTTTGAATTTGATTACATCACTTCAGCAAATGTGTAATTTATAATTTCAAATCTCTTCAGAAATCCTCTTACTGCTCTGCAGATGGTCAGCCAGCTTTTCCTGATTCATTTTCCTCAGGAAGTTCAGTGTGATCTTCATCACTGCCTCTCTGCTCCTCCTCTGCTCTTCTTCATCACCTTCCAACACCTCATCATCATCTCTCTGACTCTCTGAATGTTCTGGGTAATCTGGACTCAGAACCTTTTTAATCTTCTTCAGTTCATTCTTCACAAAAGTAACAATGTTTTCCTCAGCAGCTGGAACAGAATAATAGATGGACACATGGGACTGAATTCATGGAGCCAAACACCAGATGGATGTTGGACAGACTGACAGTCCTCTGGTCTACAAAGTGAAACATGAAGGTGACTTTGAACAGAACTCGTGGAAAATAGTTGTTGTTCATATACAGACCATAAATATGGACTCCAGTTGTGTTTGATGCTGCTGAGCAGATGGACCCCTGGGAACCTCTGAGGTCTGCCGCTCCAATCTGTGGAGGAACCAGGAACAATTAGGAAGTGTTGAGAATATAAGTCTCATTAGCATAACTTTAAAGACAGTCAACCTTTATGCATATGAAATATTAGATGTTGCATGAACATTTAGAGTAGATTTCAAGTTAGGTAAACTTAGACAAAGATCCAAACTAAAACAACTGGTGACTCTCTGAACTTACATAAATTTCTAAGGAGGGTTTTCTGACAGGCAGTGTTGGAGTCCCATAATGAGTCTGCAGACAGGGAGTCTATCTGTCATCAGCATCAATACATTTTTTTGTCGGTTCAAGAGTTCAGTGAAACATTAAAACTTTAAAAAGTCTTCTCCAAAGTATAATCAAACGCATTAAGATATTTCCTTTAAGCATTAACAGCATGTTTGAATTAGTTAGCTTTTAACCATACTATTTGCATGCATTTTATATTATTGAAATACGATAGGATCAGGAAACTATTTTACTTCTAAATTTCAGGTATTCTAAAAAATAGCTTTTCCAAAAGTGGATAACCCTGTTATTGTTAGATCCAAACTTATAGTTATTATTTGGCATTTCATTTTTGTGCCAGTTTGTTTAAAATAGAAATCAGTTTCTTGCTGAATCTCTGAGGCAGAGAGGACTGTCCAGCTGCAGGTCATAAATCATGGCCTGGAACGTAAAAAGGAGGAGACTGGGACTGGAAGATCTGGGTGTTTTAGCAGGTCTCAGAGGTAATAAAATTAACTTTGAGACAGCCCTATAAGGGGAACAACACACCTCCTAATGCATATATTTAAATGAAGGGAATACACGTTCTTATAAAAAGCTCTGTTTTCCAGCAGAAGCTCCAATCACTTTGTGCCTGAGTGAGCGACTCTCAAAAATGCAATTTTGTTTTGTGTTTTCTTTCAACTCGTCCCAGGGAACGCTTTCTGTGTTGTTATGTGTCAGACTTTTTGATGATCTGGGTGTAATGCTGATGTAACATTCTGTATGCATTGAATTCTCTGGAGAAAGCTCTTATATGTCTGAAGAATCATGTCGTATGATTGTTCTTTATTATTTCTCTGCGCACGCGGAGACTGATGCACCTGGGAAACAGTGAAGCTATTTTCTCTGTTCTTAACAGAAGTCAGAAATATTCATCCAACAGTTTTCATGGAGGAAATCACCAGGAGTTTCACATTACAAATACTTGAAGCAGTAAAACAGAGCATCACATCAGCACAATACAAAGGACTTAGAAAGAGGAAATGGATCACAGTAACACCGGAATCACTCAGATTATGTAAAAAAGTTGATATTGCACTTTAAACACTCCACACTGTCAACAGACTAAATAAAAACTGGGAACATCTAAGTTCATACTGGTTCAGTTTCCACACTAACAGGAATTAAAAACAGCTCACCTCTCTGATGGCGGAGATCCAGGAGATTTAAAGTAAATGAACTCATCCTTTGACCTGTCGCTCTTAAAGGACACACAGCTGGGTTCTGGTTCTGGTTCTGGTTCTGGTTTGAGTCTCTGATGGATCCTGACAGAAACATGATGATTAAAACTTAATCAGCAAAGAGGAGAAGCAGCAGCTTCATCACCATGTCTGTTCTGGCCTGATATAGTGAACGCTGTGTGAAAAGGGCTGTGGACAGTTAGAGATGGTGACCTCACCTCTGACCTTTGCTCTGGCTCTCATCTTCCCCACACAGAGTGGTTTTAGAGGGAGGGACTCCCTCCTCTCTGTCCTCACACTGATCCATGCTGCTGAATCCACATCAGCTCACACACACTTTCTAGCTTCACCTGCAGAGGAAACACACATCATTCATCTGCACATCAACTCTGATCATCCTTTACATCATTAGTGCTGGAAAAAGATCAGCTGCTCCTCCTCTGATTGGCTCTTCTTCTCTGCTTCATATCAGTGTCAGGTGAATGCAGTCAGACAGCAGAGAGGCAGAGGAAGCTGCCATCAGCTGCTGCACTTCTACTATCAGTCCACTAGATGGAGACATGGAGCAACATTTACATTCACTGATTCAACATGAACAACAGGAAGTGATTTAGTTAATTATTAATCTCTACAAGTGGATTATTTGCTCCATTAAATGTTAACTATTTAATAATTTGACTGAATCAATAATAATATTTTAATAATATTTTATTTTGAAAGGAAGCAACAGGAAACTGTTGCTGACATTAATGGTGGAGACCAGAGTTCAGTACCAGGAAATAAAAACATGAATTAGTTCGGAGAAGAAAACAGTGAAACATCAGCTGTTCATCATGTTGATTGATTCCAGTTCATCAATAATTTTATAATTCTGCAGATTAGCCTTCAAACAGCAGATATTAAAGTTTCAGCTGAAATCAGAAGTGAAACTTTTCTCCAAACATCAGAGATTAGAAACAATCAGGAAAAAGTTAAAGTGATTAAAAAAATTCAAGAAATAAATAAATCAAACTTACAGTTTGTTCAAAATATCCAAAGAGTTAAAGAAGAAAATTTAAACAACAGACTGAAACCCGACAAACGGACTGGAGCCACACCTGAACAGGTGAATTCAAACTGAAACTAAATGTGACGGATGTTGTATAACTGATGACGTCACAGCTCACCTGACTTGTAGTTTTTTGCTCCAGAGCAACAGAACAGGAAGTAGAAGCTCTGAGGTGAAATCAGAGGCAGGTTGATAAAATCTTCATGAGGAAGAAGAGAAGTTCTGATAAAATGAAGGTGTACTTACTTTTCATCATTACTGTAATGATGATTGATAGAAACAGAAAATACTAACAGTATTTTAGTTTATTCATCATGTCATAAAGAAAAAGTTGTGAAAATGCATTTTTCAAAAAAATATTTTCATCATGTCATCCAAACGTTCATTATAAACTAAATATTTAATTCACAATCTAAATATTTACTTGGATTGTAAACAAAATTTTGGGAAATAAAACTTTAGCTAAATATTTGGCTTCAAAATAAATATTTATTTTGCAAACTAAACATTTAATTTTCAAATTCAGTATTTTTTTTCCAAACTACATATTTAATTATCTTTTTCATGTCTAGTTGTTCAGTCAGACGCTCCATCATGTTGTCATGTTTCAGTTTTCCTCCATTCAGCAACAGTTGGTGAACTGGGTTTAATCCAGTTTAGTCTAATTGTCTTTCTTGCTACCAGCAGCAGAAGGTGCAACAATATGTAACATTGATGTTTAGTGAGTAAATCCTTGGTGTTTATGTCCAGCAGAAACAGAAGAGGCTCCATGGGGAGATCTGTCCTCAGAATGTCCTCAATCTCCTGTTTCATTTCCTCCCAGAAAGTCTTTATTTGTGGTCAGAACCAGAAGACGTGTGTGATGACCGACCATTCAACACATTCCTCCAACATCCATCTGTGGTTGGAATCCTGGAAATGAACGTTTTGAAAGGAGTAACACTTTATTTGACACAGTGTGTTCTATTAAATCTGGTTTTTACTTTCCAGTCAAACTCTTTGCACATTTGATTTCCAATTCTTTTATGGCACAAAAATGCAAATTAGAAAACTCCACTCCTTGTTTTATCAAGCTCCAGTTCAATCCAGTAAATTTATGCTCTCAATTTGACAAACAATCCACAAATGGAGAATGGAGACCCCAAACTGGACCATATTGATAGTTTTGACCTCTTTCCCCTTCAGAGATACCACTGCAAACTCGTATCAATGGCTCCTCAGAATGACAAGTGGGACGCTCTGCTGGATGGAGACTGAACTACAACACTAAAAGAAGTTTTAAACTCACTTTTCAGTTAGCTAATTGAACAAATTTTTATTCTGTAAGATAATAAATTGCATGGTTACACAAAACCAATAAAAAAGGTAATTATTGCCACATTATGGAGTAATCAATCATGGTGAATATCTGCCAAAAAATTCATTCTTGAACAAGATGACTTTTCCCAGAAGACAGTATTACATTTTAATAAAAAGTGGAGTGGAAAGAAAAACTGGTGAAATAAAGGATGCACATATGAAATTCACCATTTCTGGAACAACGATTGATATTCTAACATATGTGAAGTAGATTTGCTTTAAAGAAAAAAATGTTTTATTTGCATCATACTTTTATGTATCACATAAATGTAATTGTATCATAGTCAAGATGTTTTCGGTGCAGCTGCAGAGGGTGTACAAACTAACTGAACAAGATGCGTCTGCTGAAGTTTCCCAGGCGGGTCGTCTGGGAACTTAATCTCCGCCTCTGTCAGCTGAGAGGTGAATAAAGCAACTATGTAACTCTGAGTTCGTTAGAGCAGATTTAGATTTTCGCCTAATGCAGAATATATTTTTCCCTCTGTCTGCAGATGTATTAAAGATTGTTTTTGCTCCCTGAACTTGGACTAGAATTGTGCACTTCACACATATTCAGATTAACTTATGGTTAGTTCACAATGGAAAAATCTGAGTTGATTTCATCTGAACATTAATTCAATCTGGAGAGACTTAGACGGAGAAAATGGAAACCATTAGAAGAGTTTATTGACATACAAATTTAAGTCTTTGGCGCTTGGGCCCCGGCTGAGGACATCTGTTAGAATGATTATGTTTTGTTATCATTCTTACATTGGTAGCTATAATAGATTTAGTATTCATATCCCTGAGAAAAGTTCTCATACTTGTTAGACTTTGGAGCTGCAGCCACTTGTATCTTTGGGATACTCCTATCTACCTCCCTCCACATTCCTTTTCTACTTTGTAATAAAAGAGAAAGCCCTAACAAA